ACACCTTCTGACCCCGGAAAATAGCCAGTGACCACAAACAAACATAACACTACTACAAAGAAACTGCAAAGACACACAACAATACTACACAATGGGGGCAAAATGACCACAAAGAGACACAACATGACCGTTAAGACACAAAATGAACATGGACAAAACTTCAAAAAGATGCTTAACAACTAGACTAAAATAATAGCCTACAATAGTCAACAAATAAACTAACCCATTCATCAATACCAAAATCACTACCTAAATACTGCTACTAGTTAGTAATACGATGAATTACATGTAGAATATTGTTATTTAATGACAATGTACAGTTTTTGAAAATGTTAAGTTATTGTTTTTCCGCTCAGGGCGTAATATCAAAATTAATGGATCAACTTTTCTGCTTTAAGTGTTTGTGTTGATTTGAATCCCATCTAAGTCTGGATGTGTGGCCACTAAGCGCCCCAAAATCAAAGAATTAAGAGATTAGCATGAAGATATACAGTGGCATTGATCACACACTGGAGCAACACGTAGCTGAAAAACATCTCATGGCCACAATGTGGCAGTGTTAGATCAGTTGTGCTTGCTCTTTCTGTTCTGTAATGAAAAGCCTTCTATCAACCATCCCAAACGTTGGCATGAGAGTTGTTACATGTTGCTAAATACAAGTTAAAGTACACATTATACATTTCAAATAGAATTTCTGTCCGATGTTATTTATACATAGGTTTGATACCATAACGGTCACTTGATGCATCATGTGCTGCAAGGTCATTTTGATTATTTTAGAGGCAAACTATACATTTTGATGTATAAGATGCTCTCACCCCTATAACAAATGAACAATTTCTGATTTTGATTTATAATGGATTGTGTGATGCATGGAATCAATTTAAGTTTTTTCTTTTGTTTTCTGTTTTCAGTGGAAGGGATGGAGTGATGCAATTGGTTGCAAGACAAAGACGGATGACTGCACAATGTACACGTAAGACGTAAGAATATATGACAAGTGAAATAGATGTGCCTTTTCTGCATTTATTAGGTGTGCAGTAACTTTTAGTTCTGTTCTGTTGATGGTGTAGTGGGTCTACATTGGGTCCAACCCGACAAGGCGAGGAAGCGATGGTGAAAATATGTTGCAGTTTTGCTTGACAACACTGAGGCATTACATCACACACAGCCTCTCGTTTAAGGAAGCTGACAGCAATAGTTTAACATGTTGGCATTTGCCACCCTCAGTTATTTATTGATGATTGTGCTTGACGAGCATAGCTGCAACTAATCATTACTCTTTAATTTGTTTCAGCCCATAAACGTAGATACGGTAATATATTGGTTGGTGACTTTCTTCAGTAGAGATTTACTGAATAGGTTGTTTATCCTCAATTTGAAAGTACATGCAGGAAAAGTCACAAATCACAGCTGCTGGTAAGTGATTAAACCCTGACCTACACAACAAGTTTGAGATAACCAACACGATAATGTTGTTCTCTGTTAGATAGTTAACTCCCACATATAGTAAGGAGTCAGTAGAGAGAGGCACCCAAATTCCTCTGGCTTCTGTAATTCAGCATCTAGCAGAGACGTAGTCCAACATCTAGGTCATTTCATTTGAAATAGCACAGTTTATAATATATAATTAAATTGTATTGAAAGATGGCAGGAACAGTTTTTCCAGCTCCAAACCATGTTTATTTATGAATGGTATTAATTAAACAGAACATTTTTTCCGGCCAAGGTAAACTATAACGGTCACACTCCTCCACAAATAAATCCAACAGCTATGTTGTGTTATAAATCATAAGAATCCCATCTTTGTAAATGAAAGGTATAAATGTGTTGTTATTATCATCCATTTATTTGACAGTTTTCAAACCCAGCCAGAGAACATTTATAAATGCTTTTACCTATGACTTTAATAATCCAGTATGAACACATACAGGAGCCAAATTCAGATGTCAGAAGGAAGAGTGATGCACTTACCCACAAATGCTGAGCACAGAGGACATCAGCCTACACTGTTATAAATCTAAAGAGCCATCAAACAGGCAGCACCATTCACCAGCCACCTAATGTAAATGTAACAGGGTTGAGTGTTTGAGTGCAGGAATATCACTGGGGTTATCTACTGGGAACCTCCCAGCACATATGTTTTGTTAGAATTAGGCTCTCACTACCACCATGAAACTCTACGCTTATGTTTGGCGTCTCGGGACCAGTGTGTCCCGCACCATTTGCAAACCTTTGGTTGTTGTTTCTGGAGATTATATTATAAGGGGGGTAACACAAACGTTTTATGTTTTAACAAATGCATATAGTTCCCTAGTATTAAGTTGAATAGGTTCCAACATAACCACGACTCTACATGATTTTGCATTATGGTACGGCTGTTTTGCTGTGTATTGAAGCCACTTTTAGCTGCTATCACCGTACTGCAGAGTATGACAATTTAGCAAGAGTTCTCTTATTAAGACTTTGATAAACAATGTCAACAATGTCATACTTTGGCAGTAATGTTAGGTCTAAGTCATTAATCAATATTTTGTGATTTTTAACCATTGACCAACAGTTTAACATATTTTCTAGTAATTCAGAAAACCTCATGATATCATTACATTACATTACATTGCATTTAGCTGACGCTTTTATCCAAAGTGACTTACAATAAGTACATTCGACCATATCAACAATTACAGTCTACCTGCTGCATCCTTTAGTATAACATTGTGATAGTTATGCAATGTGAGTCTATTGACACATTATACATCAGAACTTCTTATAAATGTAAAATCCTTTATAAAACAGACAGTGTGGAGATCTAACTGTAGTTTGCAAGTGGCATGGAGAATAATTTGAACATAATCAATGTATGCACTTTTACATTTTTGATAAGTAGAGTTGTTTGCCTGAAGTTGAGATAAAACTAAATGTACGACTGCCACCGTACGTGTGTTGCTGAGGTGTTGAAATATGGAATGGTATGCAGTTATACTGAGTGCCCAACGTTTCCATCCCTGCAGGCACAGTCTTCTAAGGTGTGGAGCGCAGGAAACAATGTTTACAGTAACATTCCATTTGATTGAACATCCACCCTCTATCTTCAATTGTTTTACAAAGTCAACATTTACTCAAGATGTTTTAAACTTTGTTTACAAATTGAAAACCTGTATGACACTTTTGTTATTTAGCTTCCTTCACCTTTTGCACCTTCTGCAACAAAGCATCCTCCCTGGTGCTAATGTTCCCAAGGTGATCTTACTGAAAAACCTTGCACAAAGGCATAATAATAAAAGGTTAAGTATAATATAGATCAAATCTGCTTTAGTGTGGGTCACTGACCTCAACTGTATCGGCTCTTTCCAACCTTAATTGTCTGCTCCTCTGGGAGCATAATGTTTGGATTGGTTGGGAAATATATTGGCAATAAAGAGACAAAAGGATGTCATAAACGTTGATTAAAGCTCTGGTTAAAAGACAGAGGCGGAGAGGCTCTGAGTTATGAGGGCTTTTCAGACTGCGTTATTGTTTCAGTGACAGAGCTCTTAGTGCGTCTAGTGGAGTGGTCGCAGGCGAGTGGTAAACATTTCTCAAAGTGTGAGGAGTCATTAATCCCTGAAGCAGAGAACGGCTTCACTACCGGTGTCTGTGGCCCAAGAAATCACAGCCAGTTGGCACCAGCAGGTCACACAGAGCTCCAACACAAACGCTTTGTACTCCAAAGCTCTTTAAATCTCTTTTAATGTGCTGTAGCTAAGGCACATATAAGGAAAGGTAGTGTGGAACTACTATGGGTTTCCCACATTCAATGCATTTGCTAGTGAAGCTTGATGATGCATATGACGACAGCAAAATACCCATTTGTGAGACAAATGTTCTTTTTAATTATAAAAAAACAAAACGAAATTAGTTTGTTAGTTAATAGAGATGATTCACTGAATAATATATATTTTTTTTTTTCTCTTTAGGCAAGTCATGTCTGAAGTGGGTCATGTATCAAAAATCAGTTTGAAGACCTTTATATCCAACAATCTGTTTCTATCACTTTTGAGTTGACATGTTGCATACTTAAACATTAATTCGTTTTTTATCAAATTATCACAAAGCATATTGGAAACCATGTAGTAATCCATCTATACACATTCCCCAGAGGGCAGGAGGGATGGAGGGAGTTAATAGTAGCCCAGCAGCTCATTTTTGCCTCCGGGCCCCATGGCAGGTTAATCCAGCCATTACTGTCAGTGCATTACAGACAGCCACCTGGACATATAGGTGGTTAGTCACCATCGCTTCATATTGCAAACAAGTCCCTACACACATTGACATAATATTGGAGTTTAACTGAAAGGCAAGTATTGTATCCTTTTTTTTCTCTGTATATAATTAATCCAATAAGACCTTTTCACACTAGATCTTTTTACATGTCACAGTAGTTAAAGCACAGGTGTAAATAATAAAAATGAATGATGGCTGAATTTAATTTAGCAGCTTCAGTTCCAGGGTTGTATGTGCATGAGGGCTTAGGTCGTTAACTGTAACACCTGTACTTTGAAAAGTGTTTGTTTGTATAGTGTAGAACAAAAAGTGCATTTTATTCGCCTCTTAGCAGGACTATCATTTGCTATTTAAATGATTCCAGTATGCTATTTGACTTAACTTTTTTGTATTTACTATATAGTAAGGCCAGTATTGTATTTAAAATGATGACGTTTTGTGATCTTCATATTTCACTTTGCTTATGGGACTGTTCAGAGTTAACAGTTAATGCAGTCCAGATCTAATTTGCATGGCTAATTGGTCAGTACTGGAGCTCCATCCTCGCGCCACACCCACTCTGCTCCGGCACTGTCGGTCCATGCCTCTGGGTGTGTATTCTGCTAAACTCCGCCCCGCTCGCGCCGCCTCCAAGCGGACCGCAATGATTTAGAAGTTCAGGAATCCCACGTGACGTCACCCGGGGGTGACGTTATGCTTCTCTAAATAGATCGTATTGTAATCTTTTCTCAGTCCAACGTGGTTTCTTCTCAGAGACTGCTTCACATTTTTCTACACTTGTTTGGTAAGTTGAAAACCTCACACCAGCATGCAGAGGACCGTGCACGCGCCCCTGCAGGTTTGTTGTGTTTGTTAAAAACGTTTCTTGTTACTTTTTCTCATTTTTTCCCCATGCAACAGCTTGTTTTGTTCTTCGCTTCAGCAGCCCTGCTCTAATTTTATTTTTTTTCTAATTGTTTCTCAATTCATGAATGCTTGCAAGTGTAAGAGGGAATGGATCATGTAGGTTTTGTGAGAGTAGGTGCATTGTCATCTCACTTGGCTGTCCGTGCGTCGGCCTATCTGTTGACTGTTGTGGAAGTTGAACGCGGAGTCAAGTGCCGCTGCTGCTGCTGCTCGCTGGCAGGTATAGCAGCGGGGACCAGTCTGCAGGAATTTGTCCGACTGAAAACAAGCGAATGTCATTGCAACGGATGGTTTCATTGCATTTCACAGCAATTTGGCTCGTCTTATATATTTTCTATGAGCTCCATAGCACTAAAGCTGGTTCCCTGCATCACTGCCTTGCTTTCCCATCTCGGGATACGCAGAGCCGGTGTTGGTCCCGGACTGAACGCGCTGCAGCTCATCAGTGATCGTCCTGAAAATGATTGCTGTCATGCCGGTTAAAAAGAAATATAGTAATGCTCCTGGTCCCGTGAAATGTACGTTCCATTTTTTGTCTTAAACAGCAATGTGACCAACATTACGTCATTCTGCAGGCCAGTCGATATTTGATTAACCGCTGAGATGTTGAGGGTTACTTTCAGGAAGGTTGTGCTGACGAGGCGCGCTTTGTACGGCTTGGGAGGGAAAGAAAGATGTTTTAATCATTTTATTACTCTCCGCTGTCATTATGTTTATGTGACAACACTATCAATAACCACTTTTTTCTCATACACGCTGTTTTAGATTAATGTGACGGATGCCGGATTTATTGTGTCCCCTTTTAATTGGCTGTGTAAATAGCAGCTGATACGTTTCAGGATGATGTTAATAATAATTCGGATAATTTCATTTCATTTGGACTAAGATAGAGTTTTATTTGTCTCCTTAAAATGCTTTTAAAAACATGCACATAATGTTATGCTCGTTGACTTCTATAATTTAAATTAAAGTTTTTATGTAAGCAACCATTTGAGGAAAAGTTTGGAAGATATGGTTTTTCACCTTTTCCAATTATTTGTTGCAAAAGGGAATACAAAAACGTTGGAGAATCAAAACATTTTACCTTAATGAAAATAATAGTATAACATATATTTTTATTTGTATAAGAATATTTTAGTAATATTCTGCTGAAGTGAAAAGTCAAGTAAGAACGTTAAACATACAACTCTGAATAATTACATAAATACATCAAAAACAGCAAGGACTCTAGTCAGTGACAGTAACCATATCTTTGGTTATTTGGTAACCTTGATGCAGATCTAATTCTTCACATATTTTACACAATGCTCAGCTTGATTGCAGTGCAGCGGCTCATTGCAGTAATGAAATGTGACCTTTATTTGTTGATGGGTGCTGCTTGTGCTCAAGGTGAAACATTCCTCTGGCGAGGATTATACTAATGTAGAAATAGATCGGATGACAAAAATCACAACAACCGTCAAGAGTTTTTGTCACATACGTCTCACCTTTGAAAAACTGTTGCTCATTTATTATAAGGTTGACTCGTACACCTTCTAATCATTTCATTCAGGGACTTGTTTCCTTTATTCTAGTGATGGTATAATGAGAAATAGCGTGAGCGAACACTGCCCACTGAGGGGTTTCTTTGCATTTGTTAGGAGTTTACATGTTGTGAAACAGACCAGTAATTGATAGGTATTTAGGTCTACATCACATCAGTCTTTTTTGGCATGCATTCACTCTAAGAGCAGGAGTTCAGGGCAGACATTGTCTAAGGAGGCCAAGTTCCCTGCCTCAGGGTTTGCCGTGATCCTACCTTGAACTTGTGCTGTCAAAGGCCCAGGCTATGGGGAGCTGGAGATTTGAATTGCTGTGCATGTTTGTGCTTGCTTTAACCCCATATGCCTTTGCACCCCAACCCCTCTTTTCCTCACCATATTGTTTAAATTCTAATAAGCGGCATACCTGGAGAATTCCTCCCCAGCTTCTCTTGAAATCGAACGCCAGGCCCTAATCCTTCCCCTCGCACACATCAGGATATAGTTAATGTAAAGTGTAACCAAATTTCCTCTGCTAAACTAAAACATCTATATCAAATGAGAGCCAAGTGCTCTTCCAAGGAAAGGGGCGTTGAGTACTGATCATTTTAAGTGTGAAAGCTATTGGATAATTCACACAGGCATTCACAGAATTCATGTTTAAGAGTTTTATGTGTCATATGGTTCAAATTTCCTGAAAGTTATAAAATGACCAAGTCCCCTTTTAGAAACAGAAAGGTAAAAGTTAAACCTTTGCATGTGTTTTCATCGTAATTGATACTTTGTTTCCTTTTTTTCTTATAATGCTTTCTGGTGTCAGTTTTATTTGCGATTCATTGTAGAGTTTTAGATTTAAGTCGTACAGGTGTACAGGAAAAAGCCGGAAAATGACAGCGGCAACCAGAGTTTCACAAACATCTGAAAGTTCGATGTCACTGTATTTCAAATACAAATGTGACCTAAAGTGTAGAGAACGTCTTTGACATGTCCATCGGCTTTTTGAAGCAGTTGTTCTTAATTCGTACTTCCATCGTCGGTCCAGCTTAAGTTCAGAGTTAGGATCAGCAGTGTTAGTCATGTTTGTTGTGTCAAAGGAAACCAGGTGAGTTTTCAGGGGCCCTGCAGTAGTGAACTGGTGACAGAAAGAGAGAGCAGGGCTCATTGCTCTCTGACAGAGAGACCCTGTCCAGACCCTGTTCTGCAGGCTCGCTCATGAAGTACAGCTTGTTAGGAAAACAGCACTGCTTAGCATAACACAATATTTTAGTGTTTTGACTATGCTTGAGGAAATAGTCTGTACCCGTGAAAAAGACACACATGTACATAGTGTATGAAGGTATTCATGCTTGACACGTGATGCTTGGCCCTGACTTGGATTTCGGATGCGTTTTTGTGAATTGATAGAGGAGAATAAACTATGTGTTGCATGTGTGTGATAAACAATTGAGCTGTAGGGTACTGCAACTAGTTTGTTATCAAAAACATACATGATGAACAACCTTATAAGGATGTTAAAATGACTGCCCTAACAGACATATTTGAAACGTTTGTTGGGATGGGATTAGATCAGTGTAACATGAGGGAGACTGAGAAAAAAGGAAACAGCAGAAAAAAGAGACGATGCATTGTGGGCCGTCAATTCTTTATCCGCAAACGTCTTCAATTTGCTTCACTTTTTTGGTGTCATAGTCATAGATGTTTTTATCCACCTACATGCTTTCATAATTCAAGACTGTATACCCTCTTTAGAGTACAATGTGCTTCTCCAGACACCATGGATGTTCACTTGTCTCAGTGCGGCTTTGGTCACTCCTCACATGGATCTTTTTGTGCAGAGTTTGAATGTCTATTCCCAGTTTGGAAACCAAACGACCTGCATGTTCAGAATTAAGAAACTTCTTGCTAATGATAAACGCACTGGCTTGAAGATAAATATGCTCCCCTGTGACTTGTGATTATTAAAGACTACCTTAATACTTGTCATCACTAAATATCTGTAAAAACATCTGTCAGTAAGTGCCTAACATCTGTAGTCCTGGCATGTATTGACCTCTCAGAGGTTGTTTGTGTTTGACAGCGATGAGAATAATTGTAGTACACTGCATCGTGCTGAACGATAAGACTTTGAACAAATAAATACATAAAATAGCCACAGTAGCCATGTCATCAAACATGATATTGAAGTAAAGGTAAAGGGATAAAGCCCCCAAAAATATTTAAATACGTTAATGTTAACTTGCATCGATGTTTAATGTTTACTACAAACACAATGCAGTCCGTATTAAAAAATGATTAGGTTCCTTTACCAGTTACTGTATATATTGGTTACCTTTTTTAATAAATGTATGCTTTTTATAAATATAATAGTAGAATCATATTTCTAGATTTCTTTCTAGACTATTTGCTGGGTCAATTCTGAAGTTGTTGGAAATGTTATTGGTTTAATATTCTAATGTGAGTGGGGCATCAAATACATTCAATGATTAGAGTGCACATGGAGGCCTTTAAAGACTTTATCATTTGTTGTGCTCTTGGTTTGATCTTGAGAAGCTTATAAAATGCACTGGGTTTTTTTCTGGTCTTTTCTCTCTTTCATCCTGTCATAAATATAGTCTATAATAGAGCTGTTTTCATATATCTTTGAAGCTGTATATGATTAAGTTTCTTTAGTTTAACTGTGACACGATATTAAAGAATTTGTTGGCCGTTAATATTTATGTGACTCTGGTATCATTTAGTATTTTTTGAACAGAGCACAGATACGTACGAGGCACTCCTCCTTTCTAGGAAAGTGGGTCCTCTTTTTCACTCTAAATTATTAAAGTAGCTCAAATTGTTACCGAATCCATTGCGCATCTGACATGATGCGTGGCTGTGGCTGTGGTGTATTGAGCAAATGCTTATAGAGCACAGATTTGTCAGTAGGTGTAAAGTAAACGAGTAGTTGTAGCTGTCAGACCAGCGCAATGTGTTCTAGATTCTGTCACTTTGTGGTGAAAATAAACATTTGAACACACTTAGTTGAAACTATGATTTCTACATGGTGTTGGTGTTTGATTGCTAATTTCACACTTGGTCTATCATTTCATTATTGGGATTTTTGGATTTTCAATTTAAGAAAATAAACAAATGATTTACGTATGTTAGGCTGATTGCTTTCTTATTGAATCCAGTGTATTTTTTGTTCCATTATTAGCGTGAAACAATGAGTGTACATTTCCCCCCTTGATGCTCGCAGGGGAAATTCAAGTCATTAAATGTTTCGCTTTTCTTACTCCTTTTGTCTGTTTTTTTGTAGTTTTATGAGAAGGTGGGCAGAGTGATGAACTCAGACCAGGAAAGGCCGTATGTGTGCAACGCTCCTGGTTGTTCTCAGGTGAGTGTGTGGGGAGAACCACAACACCCTGTGTGTGTGTGTGTGTGTGTGTGTGTGTGTGTGTGTGTGTGTGTGTGTGTGTGTGTGTGTGTGTGTGTGTGTGTGTGTGTGTGTGTGTGTGTGTGTGTGTGTGTGTGTGTGTGTGTGTGTGTGTGTGTGTGTGTGTGTGTGTGTGTGTGTGTGTGTGTGTGTGTGTGTTGTGTGTGTGTGTGTGTGTGTGTGTGTGTGTGTGTGTGTGTGGGTGTGGGTGTGTGTGTGTGTGTAGTATGAAGAGGAAAACACTGAGGAGTGGGTTACTGCCTCACGCAAAGAGGAGAAACAAAATAGCATTGAACTGAGGCAAACACAAAGTGTAAATACCCTTCAGGTGTAAAAATACCCTTTAAAAACAAATGCTCTTTAAAGATATTATATTGAACTGATATGAGACATATTTTGTATCATAATATGGCAAAAGTGGTTTTCCTTTTCTAAAACTGCCAGACACTTGCTGTGCTATTATCTATCTTTACCCACATAATCATTTTATCCACACTACTAATACGTTTCTATCAAAATCTCATCGTCTAAATATTATGTGAATGCACCAATAGTCAATTGCACAATAGTTTTGCAATATTGACAGAGAGGTATTTGTTCAACATTATCCTGATTTATAATTTTCTCCATATTGCCAAGTGCTATTTGAAGTTTGCACAGTTGAAATGTGAAATGTTGTCTTTCTACATACAATTCTTACAGTCCTATTTTTTTTAAATCTACAGCGGTTCCCCACGGAGGACCATCTGATGATACATAGACACAAACATGAGATGACCCTTAAGTTCCCCTCCATAAAGAACGACAACATGTTATCAGGTGAGTTACGGCTACATCAATTCAAACGCACACACTACCTCAGCAGGGCTTAGAGGAAACATGCAGCTCCTTTGCAGGTGTGTGCCTCAGTGACTCATGCTCCCAGTCAGACACACTTGTCTATCATCAGAAAACTTCATGGCGTGTCTATACCAGTTGTTTACAGTAATGTAAATCATAGGACACACATTACCTTTAGCTTTGTTCAGGGCATACCACTTTACGCACACTTCAGGAGGTGATGACGTGTGTCTGGAGAAATAAGCGTGTAAAGCTAAAGTGGGATTAACTTTTCCCATCATCATTAGATTCAAGATTCAAGGCTTTTATTGTCATGTGTGTCCTCCAACAGTGCAACACAATAAAACAGATCAAATAGTTCAAATAGTGCAAGTAAGTACAAATAAAATAGAATATAAATAGTGCAAGGAGAGTCTATATACAAGTAATTGGAAAGTGATATATTAGATAAATAATTAGTCTTGATCCCACTGTAGGGGAAGTTGGTTAACATTTGTTTTAAGGTTATTGTTGTGTATACGCCTAAGGTGACATGCTGATCGGCGCATTCATCTACTGTTCAAAGAAACACAGATTGTGTACTACATATACAAGTGTCAACCCAAGTCGATCCATAAGTATAGATCTCCGTTCCTAGAAACAGCCAGGTCACACTAGATGAAAGCCACGCCACCGTGATTGTGTCTTCTCTATTATTTACGCTCAGTGGACAGCAGGATCAGATTTTCTAGGCCGGGTGTTCTTATCGCTTGTTGTCTGAATTACAGCTCTGACCATTTATCTTTTAGAGACCTTAAACTCAGAATATAATAAATGGTATGTTATTTTAGCTCAGCAACACATTGCTCTAAGCTGGTGATTAAACGGTCTCCGCTTAAAATGTGAGTACTATAACTGTCGACCCAAAGTTAACCCCCTACCCCATTGACTCAACAAAAAATGGATCTTACACTCTTTTTTATTTATAAAGCTTGAGCTGTTTGAAATGGAAGAAGTATATTTGTAGTAGAACTGTATTTTGGGTAAACAGGTCATGATGAAGGTTTGAGTCAATCCTCAGTCTAGCCAGAATGGATAAACACACCATGAAGTATGCTTTTAGCCTTTGAAACAAGCCTGATCCTAAAATCACCTTCAACTGTCTGAAACCTGATCCCTGTGCACCCCCCACAACGTCAAGTTGAATACCACAGCTTGACCGAGCTCAACAAATGAGACCCCCACTCAGTAGGTGGGATCTGTACTTCATCAGCTGGAATGGGGCTGTCAAGCACAGTATCTCTCACTCGCTAACAGAATGGAGTTTTTTTCTTTCTTAAAATCATTGCAATACGTAACAACAATACACTATTATTATACTTTTGTATCAATATAGATCTGCATTGAGTTTGTAGTCAAACTGTGGTCCATATGACCCCAAAATAACAAAAATAAACAGAATTTAGCTTAAGACACTCCCACGCTTCAACCCCCGTCTCCTGATTGTACTTTTTTCAACACATTTAGCAAAAAACACATACAAAACTATAGAAAAATAAACAAATGTGATGACATCATTATAACAAATCTAACATATACAGTATGTCTTGCTAACACAGTGTGTCATTTAGTGTTGTGTGTTATTGTATCATGTGTCCTTTTGGATTGCTGCTGCTTTGTCCTTTTGTTTTTGTTGCAATGGATATCTGCCAACGGGTTGCAGATGAAATGTAGCTTAAAGCTGACATTTATGTTAATAATAATTTAGCATGCTGCTCTACTCCATAAGCTGTAGTGTTTTGCTGTCCACGATCATGTTGTATGTGCAGCCTGACAAACACTATTAACAGTTGTTGATTTGAAGGTAAAACTTAAAAAACCTTGTCTTTGATTTCCAGACCAGACGCCCACGCCAACACGCTTCTTGAAGAACTGTGAGGAGGTGGGATTGTTCAGTGAGCTGGACTGCTCCATTGAGCAGGAGTTTTGCAAGGCACAGGAAGAAGAGGACAGTAAACAGGTACTGTGAAAAAAAAGCCTCAGGCTGGAAAAAATCAAGGTGAACCCACAGCCACCCACAGGGGTTAGGTCAGGTGGTTATAAACTGTTATCTGCTGCCATCATCATTCATGTCACCAACGGCAGCCCACACACTATGAGCTGATGCACACCATTTTTTAATAGATTTGTATAGATGTAACCACACTATGCTAGCTTGTTCAAAAAGCTGATGACCGCAGATATTTATACACCTCCTATATTTCAACGTAATTTTTGTTTTTACCTGTTGCACTCACTGATCCCCACCAGTCTTGTTGACAGTGACAGACAGGGTAAGCAGCTGGAGATTTGTCACCAACTACAGACGAGGAGAAAGAAGATCAGGTTCTCCACCTGTAACTTCAAACAGCTCTCCAGTGCTCTCTCATCAAGAGAGTCCTATTTCCTCCCAGACATACGCGCAGACCCCTGAGACAACGTTTATGACCTGACCATACATTTTCACATTCGACCAAAGACGTGGTCATTTGCGCATTATAGATCCACCCTGAGGCAGCTTCACCTGAAACATGGGTACTAGTCAAATCACCACAAGACAGACTGCTTATCTAATGTCTGGAGAGATGTGCAGAGCAGGCTGTAGCTAAGCTGTCGGCTGGGTGGTTTGGCTCTGGAGCTCGTCTGTGCTCAGGTCAGCCTTGTCTCGCCTCCCCAGCCTGTGTGGTTTATGATGGGAGGCTCTGCTGAATCAGCAGGAGGCGAGTCGGAGCAAGACTCTCTAAAAGTGCATATCACAATAAACAGAGTGGGAGCTTAAAACTTGAAGAAAACAGCAATCGGCTTTTATGAATATTAATAGTCATATATTAATTTGACCAATAGTCATGTGTCTGTAAAGAGTGAGAAATGTAGTTGATAAACTTTGTTTTTACCTTTCCTTCATTCAGACACGTAGATAACATGTCATTTAGCTGACTCTTTTATCCAAAGCGACTGACAATGCAAAAGTTTTGCCTGTATTTTCCTTTTTGTATTTGATCATTCTCTGTGGCTGTTTCTCATTTGACTCAATGCAAATTACTACAACTTGATGTTTGTTTAATGCTAAGATACGGGCAATACTGGTAAGATATTTTGTTGAATAAAGCACATGGTTATTTTGGGATGTACTATATGTGAGATCACATGTAACAAACAGTTAAAACAAACAAACGGTCCTGCTGGGCTACAAAACAATAAGGAAGCATGGTCTTCATTAAACGCTTAATGTTTCCTCAATGCAGCAACAGCCTGGGAATGATAGCCTACGATGTTCCTCATTACCGATCCAAACAGATGAAGTGTTTGAGTTGTGCTGAAAGTAAAACGTTCCCTCAGCTGGGAAAAATGTGACAGTTTCCTTACTTTCTGCTTGCTTTTCTCTCCCCTTCCCTCGCTGCAGACCATCTCGCTGCACGGTCAGTCAGGCCAGCACCAGCAGTCCCACTCACGGATGGGCAACCATGACACCAGCATCGTGATCCAGCAGGCCCTGCCCTCCCCTCAGTCCAGCTCCGTCATCACTCAGGCTCCATCCACCAACAGACAGATAGGGTGAGTAGGCTTGGGCCAAAAAATACAGTAAAATGCCAAAGGTTTTTATTTTATTAAACTCGTAAGAGAAAAATAAGGGAAATTCGTTTTTTGTGGGTTTTTATTTTTGAATCTTTGACAGAGTGGTAGAGGCACTGCTCTCACTGCTGACAGACTGTTAATTATCTGTGGAGTGTGAGGATGTATCCTTTCACTTCAAGTGCGTCCCTGTAAGATTGACAGTCTTAGGTTTGACCCTTTCGTGTCCATGAGGAATGTCATCCCTCCGTAGTCTCTGAGGTAATGTCAGGGATTTGTTACATTTGGAGCAGCGAGTGTAGGGCTTGCAATTCATGTTTTGCTGTCCATTCAGTATTGTCCCACAGCAGAACATGCCAAAGAGGGTCCCGGAGGACAAGATGAGCTCATTGTTGAAGTCTTAGCTGTGACTGCTTTTACAGCGGTTTAGCATTTCATGCTCTAAAATAGATCCTTTCACTGTATGGGAATGTCAGCCGCAACTATAGAGCTCTGTTTCTCTGATGCACTGCCATGCTACAGGTGTAAAATAACCAGCTGATATAGACTGCAATCTGAGTGGTGTGCTGCTTTATTATTTCACACAGTTATAAACTTTTTCATGAAGTTTAAAGGATTTTTAATTGCAGTCATAATCAGACCATGATGATTAATATCTCCATACTGTGTGTGGTTAAGCTATGTGTTTTTTTTTTTTAAACTAAACCATAATGGGTCTTTAAGGGTAATAGTGACTTTTTGTCTTTATATCTCAAAAACATAATCATGACCACACACACACATTAATAAGCTGTTGGACGTTATAGAGATACTCCACTGACCTCATTTGTTCCTTATGCCTTTACCCCAACCACCTTGAAACATGTGCCAGGGCTTTGTTACTGTAAACCAGACCTGTGGCAGGCACGTTAGACATTGAGATGGCTCAGTGTAAGGCCTGTGCTGTGTTGAGGTTGTCCTGTGTAGATTTACAGCTTGAGGAGCTTGTGAATATTGGATGTGAGGCCCATCACTAAGCCTGACTGACACCCCGTCAGGCTCTTTGTCCAGAACAGGGATGGAATTTCACTCCCTTGGAGGAGCAGAAATCACAGCCAGTAACCTAGACTCTGCTGTGCCTGCTTCACCTGATTTCACCTGTCATTAAAAACTAATCAGAGCATGTATGCGATAAAGTGGTAGTTTAAAACTGTAAGCCTCAGTTATATTTATATGTGGCATATTATTTGAGGAATTTCCCGCGCAGTGCTTGTAAGTGCTCAACCTGCAGAAGCGTAACTTGTTTACTATGAAGGTGTAACACATGAATAGGATGGGTAGATTCACACGACAAGCCTGGAAATGATCACATCAGCAGGAAAATGAGTATAGGAAACCCCTCCGCTGAGAAGCAGCGCTTCCACAGGAAGCCATTAGGGCCAACCAAAGGCTCCGAGCACAGGGTCTCTCCACAGGAACTTCCCACACACAGAACAACTGGACACTTCACAGGCTAGTGAAGTGTCCTGATTGAGTGTTAGGGACACTACTGAAGGTCAGAGGAAGGGTTCCCTGTTGTCATGTTAAGCCACTTCAACTGTAGTCTCCAATAAGTTTGATTTCCCATGTCTCGTCTTGCATGTGCAAATGTTTATGCTACATTTTAAACATAACAATCTGAGAGAGTATAAAATGTTATTCTAGTCAGTTAATCACTCTTGTTTTAGTATGTGATCCATACACGGCTATACAGCTTTTGATCTTGACACACTTTATGGATCTGCTAATGTAATTGTTATGGTTAATGTATACGTTAGGAAAAAATCACCCAAAAAGTCAGTTTAACCTCATCTCCATTTGCCTCCTTTGTTTTCTGAACGCGCGGCGTGAGCATCCAATGAATTAGTATAACAAGTCATTTTCATTGCTCCACAATGTTTACTAAAGAGCTTTGAGGCTTGGAATCAATTAGGATTGGCTTTCCTCAAGTCCATTTACTTTAGGGTTGAGCACGGCCTGCAGCTGTGAAACCTGAGGACCTCTTTCTCTGTTTCTCTCTCCTCCTGCTCCAAGTCCCTAAACAAAGTCTTTGGGGAGCCGCACTGACACAAACCAGTGTTAAGTCCAGGCATAAGAAACCAGCCAGCAGAATTTAATGTCACGGCTATCATTATCATACAAAGAAAAGCAGCGTCCAACACATTCGAATGCTTTCTGTTTTTAAATTATAAACATCTGGTGCTGAGTTGTGTCAGAGTTAAATACGTTGGACATTACCAGTCAACCACGTGAGATACAACATTCTGTGGAAACCTCACCCTTTAACTCGCAAGGGGCGATGTGCGGGTATGGGTGTTGGCAGGAGACACTAAACATCTTTTTTATTTTTATTCTGGCTCAGAAGAGGAACTCAGTCCATTATTTTCCATTACATAGCACAATCAACCTGAATGCAGCTGGTGAGGAGTGATTACTGTAGAGTTTTTGTAAAATACCTGATCATCAATTTTCGATGAGGTAATCCTAAATCATTTATATCAATTTTGGCCGTGTATGAAAACAGGTGCTTTTATAAAATGGTGATACTGTCGTTGATACCTTACATAAGTGATCTTTAGGAGAAGTTTGTGTCATTCTATTCCTGTGCCAATGTGAGATGGACAGTTTATTTTATTTTAAAGCAGTCCACCGCGACTTCTTTCAAGTTTCTACAGAGGACTCATCTTTTCGTTGGTAATTTCCCACCCTGCTATTGCTGTGCAACTTTAATTTGGTCACATGAGCTTGCAAAGCTCTGCAGGAAGTCAATTTGTGGTTATATTTCCCTTGATGCTTTAAATGCACAATATTTTTCACACCTCAGAGCTATCGTCCCCTTCAGTTCCTCGTTTTTGCCTTTAAGAGAAGTAGCAGAAATAGATGTTGGTTTGCATGCCTTCAAAACAGCGGGGTCTCATATAAAGCTCATGTATAGGGCGACGCATTTAAACTTCCTGTGTTTTCTGAAAAAGATCTGGTGATATGCGGATTGATTATCAAGAATCACCGGGTAAAAGATCTCATGAAGAATATTTTTCACTGATCACATTTCAATTCCTTTTGGCTTAACATAAATTATGATCATCATATATAAATTCAGCCAGATCTGAAGTCTAACTTGAAAGCAAAACTATGACTAAGTAATTTCAATTGTGTGCAAATAAAGTGTTTGAATTTTCTATCAGATACAGTATATTTTCACCCTTACTTGATATTCAGTAATCCTCTTACTTTTTAAAATATACTTACATATAATACTTCTGAACTTAGGGAACAATTACTCAATGGTAGCGTACTGTATTGTGCTGATAGCTTTTATGATTCTAGGATGCATTCCATATCACATTTTTAGAGATTGCATAATACTTTTTTTCCCAAGCATGTGATAAAACAACCAACACCCGCGCCAGAACAGAGAAAGTCTCCACACCTCTACGGAGAGTTAGTGGCTTTTCGTGGACATACTTTGACCTCACTTGAACTTCACAATTTAAACAAAACTTTCCCTATTATTGTTTATGATTAGATTGCATTCACAAAGTGGTGATAAGGAGGGAAGTCTGCCCTGAGAGCAGGAGTGCGGGACCTCTACCAAATGCCTGAGGTGCCCTCATGCTCTAACTTGACAAATGCCCTTCTCCACAGATAAATATGGGTGAAAGTAGGGCTAATTGTAGGGTTAATGCACATGGAGTAGGAGCAGGCAGAGGAAAGGAAAGAACACATAAACAAAGGTACAGAAAAACAAAGGTATACAATATAATCAATTACATAAAAGGAACAAGAGAAAAGCAAAGAGAGAGAATGCAGGATGTACATCTGACCTGAATTAAGATGAGCTCATTGTGTACTGCAGTGGGTTTAATAGTGCGTTTGTAGAGGAACGCCCAGACTCTGTTCCCTCTCATTCCAGCGGGGCTGTGTCATCCCTGCCCCGGGGCCACCACACATGCAGGCTCCTGCACAAGCAACTCACACACAGGGACAGGCCTCACAGCTCTGGGGAGTGCAGGGAAGTGTGGAAAAGGGGGATCAGAGGTGGACAGAGCAGAGGAAGAAAGGGATCAGAGGTGGATGGAGGAAAGGAAGAGGGGGATAGGAGGTAGATGGAGGAGAGGAAATTAAGGATCAGGAGGGTGGAAGAGGGAGAGAAGAGAGGCATCACATGTGAGGACATGGGTGTTCTCGACAAGTCAGGCCTTCATAGGGAAAAGGAAAAGATGGACATGTTTGGATGGAAGTGTGAACAAAGTGCAATCAGAAGAATGAAGGTGTGGGAAATAATTCACTAAGATTTTGAAAAGGAAAATGAGGATGGAAATTGAAATAGATCAGAAGGATCAGACTGATAGTGGAAGACGGCATCGGGTTGGATGAGAGAATGAGAAGTTAGTTAAGAAAGAGAGGGTCAAACAGGTTAATTAATAATCACATTATAGCAGATGAAGAGGGAGAAAATGAAGTATCATTGAAAGTGAAAGGGGCGCTCTTGCCAAATGTTACAACATCAGTCAGGTGCTGCTGACAGATGCCAGGTTTGCTTGTAACAAGATGTGTTCTTTCTGATTCATGCTGATAGGAATGTAGTGGCATGCTTTTTACTTTCGTTGAGAATAAAAGTCAACCCATCATCTATTTGGTGCACAAATACCACAAAGCTAATTTGTTCCAGAGTTAAAACCACCGCCATTTCTCAACTGTGCTTTGACGCGGCTAAACTCCGCTTGAGGCTCCCTAATGTGAGGACACCCCATCCCAGATCCATCCCAGTGCAGCGCCCTCCCAACATCCATCCCTCCTTTAGCCCGCTAATAAAAGTCAGCCTGTGTCGTAACCCATTAGGGCTGATTTATTTGATCAGATTCATATTATTTCCTCAGTCCAAACCCCATGGCACTCTCCTCCCACCAGTGATTAAAGGCAGTAAATCAGGGGCAGGTCCTGTGTAGTGTTTACTCAGAGAGCCAGGCAGCTGCAAGCTGTTTGAGGCCCTTGTTTCTCCCTCTGTTTACCTCCGTTCCCATGGCGACTGCACCACCGTCTCCCGAACGTCTGGAACTTGGCCCTGGGCTGTTTTGGTTACGTTCGAAAGTTTTTAGCTGCTGTGTATACCCGGAGCTCGCAGTGACTTCACTCAGCGAAGAGTGAGCGCAGAGATGTTGGACCAGTCGAGGAGGGAAAGAGAGGGAAAAGCATGAGGAGAGGAGGGAGGGACGAAATCTGGGGGTGGGCAGGCACAGGGTGGGGGAGGGCGAAAAGCCAAAAGCATTACATCATTGCTGGAGCAGAGTCAGAAAGGGAAGGATATGAGTCAGTGGACTGACTGCACCTCTCTCTCCCGCTCTTGCTCTTCTTGGACGGTGGCCAAGCCCCTGTGTTTAAAGTCTCCAGTGCTTGAGTTGGAGTTGGGACTGTGGGGATTGGAGCAGTAAAGCTTAGTGTGTGTGCAGACTGCAGGATTTGTAGGTTAGAGCAAGCAAATCCAGAGGGGCTTGAGTTGAGGTGTGGGCACTCTAAAGGGTCCAGAAGAGAGTCATAGAGGATTACCAAGACAATGACAGGAGGAGAAGAACAAGAGAGGAAATCGCAGGATAACTTAGAGAAATAAACTTTGGAACAAGAGATAAAAGCAAAAGAAAGACTCGGGGAAAGAAGAAGGTTCTAGCAGTGATGTCATAGTGGAGCGAAGGTGGGGTGTAGGGGTGTAGGGGTGGTGCGGTGGTGGTTCTTGGGCGGGGATTGTGGAGGAGAGCCGGGCTGAAAGCGAGGCACTCAGTAATGTGAGAGTGCAGGGTCAGGACTGCAGAGTGTCTACCTGCTCTCCCCTGGGGCCCCCAGCCCGGCTATTATCAATCCCCTCAGTGGAGCCACAGCCTGTCATTATTCACTCACATGAATACACACACATGCACACACTGGAACATGGACTTATTCACACACAAACAGGCCCAACATGAATCTGTTAAAATCTTTGTACACTGGTGCATAAACACAGAAGGCAGACAAGAATTGAGAAGAAGAACCACTTCAATTATTATAATGTATTTTTTGATAATGGACACCCTGCATCACAAGCTACAGCTGACATTATGCATTTCAATAGAGTGATGTGTGTGGATACTAAGGGCTGCAGCTGACATGTGTTTGAGTTAATGAAATTATTCAACTAATTGAAGAAATACAAATATAAACACATATCTTTAAGTAAGTAAAGAAAGTGTCTTCGGCACTAAAGCAGAGCAAAGGACATTTGTATTTTAAAGCCATGATTTAGACAGAAAGATTGGTTAAAAACACTGGCCGGTTTCAACCTCACAGGGTCTATATCAGTGCAAAGTTTTAAAACAAAAAAATGAATAAACATTGTTGGTCTTGATAAAAAATAATTGTGGAAATGCTCTTTACAATAAGACAGATTCAATCGATCTTTTTCATAGTGGCTATTTTCTGAAACGTCTGTATCTATTAGCAGGAGTTAGCACAAAGCTGAGTTAATCCCCAGAGGAAGTGCTGTCAGATCTTTCCGCCCACTGGACAACCACGTTGTGTTTTGGTGTGTGTGGTGGTAAAGGACGCAGTGTTTGTCCTCCCCCTGCTCTGCTGCAGGTGACAGGCCCAGCAGCTCAACCTGTACAGGCTTCAAAGGAGCCTTTCTTCTCTAGAAAGCGGGAGCCTGACCTGCAAAAACCAGCGGCCTGCCTGAGCCTCTGACCTTTGCTGGTTGGTTGTCACAATTAGCGCTGTGATGCATTGTTTTGTCTTATCTTAAATAAAGAAGGAGAGTTGTAGTCTGAAAGATGAGAGAGAATGTTTTCGTTTCTCACACACACTACACACTATATAGCGGGCGAAGGATAGCATTGTAATGTGTTAAATATTTGGGATCCAGTATTATCCAAAAATAAATTGGATATATTGAACAAGCCAGTTTTGAAACTAAATTAGATCCTGTGGATTAGCCAATTTCAAGTTGTTAAAGAGATCGAGAAAGATTTACAGCATAGTTTTAAAGATGTGTTTGTTTTTTATTCTGGTCAAAAACATCTTCCACAAATCTCATTCAACTTCTGCAGTGCAAGAAAAACCCTCATCAGGCAGCCATCATACTGAATACAAATCCAGCAAAACTGTTTTTATTTAGCAAATCAACAGCGTGTCACTGCCTCTGCCTTGTGACTGTTATTTCTTCCTGGACGCTGGCAGTTTAAACGCAGAGGGAAACTGTGTTGATGTAGCTCGCAGCTACACTGCATACCTCATTGTACTTTCATGACTTTTCCCATGTGGAAATGTTTGGATTCGCAGTGTTGCTCAGATGTCATACGTGCTGTTAAATGAGTGTGATTGTGATAAATTGGGATGTTAGACAGGAATGACACACAGTCGGGATGGTAATGGTCCTGGGTGTATGTGGAGCAATCTAAAATGTCTGGAGCGTAAATGCACATATTTAGGTCTGGAAAAATACAGGTATTTATTCAGGTGGGGGAGCGTTTGCTCTTGTGCCACCCCCCCCCCCCATCCCCTTCATTTGGCCATCACTCTTTCACTTCTCACTACTACGGTAATCCAGGCTATGATGTGGTCAATTGATTATATTAACCTAAATGTGTCTTGTTTGCACTAACTTCTAAACGCTCTAGGAAATGGAGCTTTATTGACTGGCCTTCATCCTGAATACTGATAACTGGATACTTATTGATTATTGTGATACAGGTTGTTTAAGAATCAAGTAGTGAATGCTGTTTTTGTAAGCTCAGGACTGAACTATTACTGTATGCATGTGGGTGGTGTAACTCCCTGCAGCTGGGAATCAGTGTTCTTGCATCAGGGATTTGAAGGCAGTTGTATAAATGATGTCATTATGTTTTTGGATGGCCGCAGCCCTGAGTCGATGACTGTGACAAGACTGCTGTCAATAGTTTAAGTTTAGCCACGGCCTCATCTTTAAATGTGATTTATTAATGCGGCCGTGTGTGTGGATAGGCCTGTTGGTTCGCACACGCTTTTGTGGTCAGCAAGAGGGAATTTCCCCCCACACAGTGCTCCCACCGCCAAGCAGTTGCTCAAAAGTGACTCTTGTCATGCACAAAATGTGGTCGTTTTGACAAATATTATTCATTAATCATCGCCATCATCCCTATTCATTGTAATACATGAAATGTACTTCAATCCAAAAATGGCCAGATGCCTCAGCTTTCAACTGCAGCATGAATACGCAGCCACGCACTCTGCTTTCCATTATGTCTTTAGAGTTGGACAAAAAAAAATGAAAAAGAAGTTCAGGAATCATTTTCACAGAAATTGAACAGTTGTGAAATGAATAACTGTGGGAATTTCTTTTCAAGGTTAAACCAGTTTGTTCACTTCTGTCTCTATGTAACGTAGCATATAAATAGATTGGGATTCACTTTTGAACTTCAGCATGTATTTAGAGAAATTACACACTAAATTAATGGTTTTTCACACATTATAGTGTAGTTTGTAGGCCGATGTTGTCAACTATTTTAACTTTCCCTTTAAAGATAGATTATCATGACTGAATGAATATAACACAAATAATCTCGTAAAATATTTCTTAATTTTTTGGGTAGTATTTTTATATGCATTGATACATTACTTGTAATAATTCATATTTGAATAATTAATTAATTAATTAAATATATATATATATTTTTCCTTTTTACTCTCAAGACAACTTAGGAAATTCTACCCGGAATACATTGAGATGGTAGACCTTGATCTACAAGTGATATTTAACCTGTGTACCACATATTATCAGATATGGTTACATCTATGTTAAAATTAAGCAGTCTTTATTTGTTTACACAACAGTTATGGCTGACAGGAGAAGTTCAAACTAGCACCATAGCGGTGTTGCTAGTTGGTTTTGATGTTATATGATAAAGAATAGCAGTAACATCAGTTATCTATAACAGTGTGAAACCTGAAGTCCTCTGAATGTCTCTCTGTGTGTGTCTTCCCAGGCCTGTCCCTGGCTCTCTGTCCTCATTGCTGCACCTACGAAACAGACAGAGACAGCCTCTGCCTGCCTCTATGCCGGGAACTCTGCCAGACCCCACCATGCCGGGCTCCTCCGCCGTGCTGATGCCTGTGAGTACAACAACGGGCTCACTCACACATGCAGCAGTCACTTACTCATATGTGACGACAGTGTGAAATCAGACTGTACATAAACTATGCATTACTTTTGGATGTTTTCACTCCCCATTCAAATGATTTACCACAGTTTATAAGGAAGTTATATCCTGTAAAAATGAAGGAGTCTATCTCTGGGTTTAGAACATAGATTTTGTTTGTAATTAAGCCAGCAAGACAAGAGCCACATTGGGAAGCTGGGAATGATAATAACCCGAAGAAAGCTCCTCGTATCAGGATTCTAATGATACAACATATGTTCTCATTGTAACACAAGACAGCCTCTGTTTATGGTATGGACAAAAAAAAACCTCCCATGTTTATTAAATTAAGAGCTAAGCAATTTTGGGGAAGATTGACGGTTCAGGAAAGGGGTGCAGGTTTGGGTGATATTTTTACACAAAACACACTTAGTGCAATTAAGGCTGTGTGTCAGGTTCTAGGCCTGAGTCTCTGCGGACGAGGGGGGGGGGGGGGGAGAGCGGGGGGTCAGGCAAAAGGGGTGGAGAGGGGCCATTCCCCCGTGGAGACCATCACACCACCCAGAGTTCAGCAGCTGAGAGGCCACAGCAGCTCACACACACACACACACACACACACACACACACACACACACACACACACACACACACACACACACACACACACACACACAACACACACACCCACACGTGCATGCAGAAACACACACAGAGGTTTTCTTCTTCCCTGCATGTACTGCTCACATCATCGCCCTGCTCGAGTGACCTCTGACCCCTGTCGGCTTAACCAGCTGATTTCCTCACATTCAGGACTCAGCTGTGACACATGACAACACTGACCAGGGTCACTATGATGCAGGCAGTAACACACATCTAATGCATGCATACAAACTATCTCACACCTACTTATATCTCGTTTACTTTATTAACACACCCTGCACCAAGAGGAGCTGGGGTTTGATGTGTCAGTCTGACCGCCACTCCACACACTATTATCAGAAACACACACACCCCTGTTGCACCGGCTTCCTGTGTTAAGTCCCTCCATGCTGGCTTCCTGTTTTGGGTCAGCTCCAGTTATCATCACACAGAGCTGTGCACAGGGCAGCTGTCATGTGAAATCAGGCTCTGATACTCTCTCATCTCATCATCCCTCAGCTTACCATGAATAATCATGATGTCTCACGGTTTAAATGCTCTTTTGTAAAACTAGTGATAGCATCTTGTGGGTAAAAATAGCATAAATCATAGCGAAATTAATATTTTGTATTGATTCATATTATGAAAACGTTTTTTTTGCATTGGAATAACATTTCCACAGCATGTAGTATGACGTTATCATGCTGTTGTAATCTTCAGATGGAGGCACAAATGTCTATGGGCTCCAATATGATGGGTATGCAAGGACCCGCCCACAACAACTCCTGCTCTTCCGCTCACATTCCCTCCATGCACTCAGAAGCCAAACTGGTGAGTATATGCATCTAGTCACATGGACATGTACACATGTATGCACACAAACACAAGTGCACACACTCAAACTCAAAGTGTTGCAACTTTCTTTTCCACTTGGCTGTGCCAGCAAGGCTGTGCTCGTAGGTCTGTGTGGATTTCATCATTTGGGGTGTAATCAAAGCTGTGTCTGAACCTGCCAGTGCAGCACTGGAGACTGGCTGGAATAAAGAACCCTTTATATGGTTGTGGCTGCGCTGCCCACCGACTGCCTGATGTATATCTTAATGTACAGAACATGTTCTGTAGGTCCTGCAACTTGTTAGCACTAGTTTAACACAGCAAGGAAAAAAATCGAATGACCTCATCCTTCACAAAGCAGGCAGTTAGAGCGGTGGGAACGAGACTGAGAGAGTGAGAGTTAGAAGACTGACTGACGAAGAAGCTGAGGAGAAAATAAACCTCCACTCAGTTTGACTTTGCATGTTGGCACTGCTAATGCAGTGTACATCTGATTAATGTCAAATGCATAACCAGTATCACTCTAGGTGATAGGAACTGATTAATACTGTAGCAACGTGACCACCAGCCAACCTTTGTTTTCAAAATAAATATTCCTGAAAATGGTTGAGACATTAAGATATAACAGCAAGTGTCATGATCTGGATATCATAAAAATCACAAACCATGATGAAAAACATTGGCCGCCCTTTGTGTTTGGAAAGGTTCACTGATAGCGGACTCTGCAGAGAGAGAGTATCAGAGAGGAGAGAGAGGAGAGAGAGAGAGAGAGAGAGAGAGAGAGAGAGAGAGAGGAGAGAGAGAGGAGAGAGAGAGAGAGAGAGAGAGAGAGAGAGAGGAGAGAGAGATAGCAGAGGTCATTAGAAGAGTTATTGCTCTGATAGAGGAGAGCGGGAGCATTCCCAGGGCATTTAATTCTCCCTCTTCCTCCTGCTCTCTCAAGATTGATCGTCTTTGTAGTCTTTGAATCTCTTCAACTGTTCCTATGGTAACACGCTGGGGTAACACAATATTAGTGTATTAGGCTTATCTCTCCCCTGGCCGTCATCCAGACACATCTTGCTCTTTTTTCCCCCACCCCTATCTGTGTAATTGAATTGTAAATGCTCTGGTAGGCCTCCCATAAACATATGCAGTCACTAAATGGCTACAGGCCCCTCGACCATACAACTTTCTGGTTAGTTGGCCATTCAGACGTGAGGCACAGCAACCAATTGTGGATCAATTGAGATTGTGCTCCCTGATGTCTGAACGAAACTGATGGAATTCCATGATTGTGGACAGAAAGTGAGAGACTAATTGTGTTATCGGGGTGCGATCTCCAGCGCGGGTTTCATAAGCATAGACGGGGTCTCTAATGTCTGTAATATCCGCGCTTGGCCACGTCGATAAATACGGCCCTGCTATCGGATAACCGGGCCATGATCAGGCCCATGTGTCCCCTGCGACGTTCTCAATCCGGCTCTAATCGCATTACCCCGACCATGTTGACTTTCCGCCAATGGGAAATCTCCGCACTGTAACCCCACACCCCCGAGGCACGGACCTGGTTCCTCTCTTTCTGCTCAACGTTTACATTGTGAGAGCGAAGAAAGGGATTGAGTGGGACTTTGATAGACATGAAGGAAATAGATAGACAGGCGGAGTGAGCAGGGGATTTGAAAGGTGAGAGACGGTATCGATATTCTGATACACCAAACTGTGTGAGAGTGAGAAATTGGAAGAATTATGAGTGAGTTCCGTAAAAGCACTTCATGCTCAGCCTAGTTTCCTCAGCCCCTCTGCATGTATACACATATGTGTGTGATTGTTTGATATTTTGTGGTCACTGGAGGCCTCGGTAGCAGGATTAACCCTCCCCTGCCAGAGAAAGCATGCCCAGGACCCGGGCTAATGAACCCTAATTGATTTTGTGGTGGGCCAGAGCAGCAGGGAGGCCTGTCTCTGGTGTAAATAGTTAATGAGCCGAAGGACTGCTGTGGCCCCTTGGGGACTCATATCTTGCTCTAAGCTCTCTGTTTGTGCTCTCTGGGCCAAAGACTGTATCTGCATCATCTTTGTTCTCTTCTATCTCTGATTTTCTCCTTAAGTGCCATCGTTTAAAGTGAGCAGCGAAGCCGACTTATGTTTTTTTTTTTTTGCTTTTAGCTGGTTGTCTGGGAGTGTTTTATTAGCTTTGGTTCAAGTGGGTTTTTTTCTCTTTCTTGCGAAGCACTGGGTGCTCGTGGTGCCGGGTGTGGCTGTGTTCTGCTCTGTTGTGGTCATGGGGAATAGAATGGTGCGTGTTGTGTGCTGGAGGTTGTGGGATAGTTGACCCTCGCAGCGTAGAGGAAACGCTACAGAGAGGAGGCCAAGTTCCACAGCACGGCGGCCAAAGCATTACGTCAACGCTCAGAGCCGGTTCTCCACAGGACCTCGTGAACAGTCGCACACACACACACACACACACACACACACACACACACACACACACACACACACACACACACACACACACACACACACACACACACACACACTCACAGACTGCTCAGGCTCTGTCATCCTCTTCACACTGTGTCACATACTTAGACAGCCACAGACATGCATACACATACAGAGAGCCAGGAGCTTAAAAACAACAGAGAAATAAGGTTACACACATAATAATTCATACATGGAACTGTGCTTTATAAACACATGTTCATATGTGCACTGTTTTCTACCCTGAATACTTTCCTGCTCAGATGGTTTGATGTCTTTGTTTGTATGATGAAAGACATTCACTATCATGTCTCATCTGTAACAAGGGAAGCCCAAACAGGCCCTTATCAAGCTGGTTTTAAAAAACATCTGTGGGCGCCACTATATGACCTTACTCCTGTCAATGGTGGATTCCGCATTGTTTGTGTGTCCTTTTTAAATGCACTCCATGCTTTCCACACATCCTGCTTGCCTGCTCATTTCAGACAGAGGGGCTTTTCGAACAGTTTGGTGCTGTTGTATGAAAATGTGTTATTTATTATCTCCTCAATTATCTATTGTTTGCATTGTTACTAAGGACAATAAATGTGTCACTAAGCATCAGGCTAGGTGCTGAGTTTTTTTAAGAGGTAAACAGTACTATATGTTCCTTCACTGCAGCTCTCTTGGCTGTGGAGTTGGCACTAGATGGGTGGATGACATAATTCCTGGCATGCTCTAAATGTACTCCTTTTTACTTGAAGAGGGGGAAAAAAGCAGTTTGCTCTTAAAGAAACATTTCATAGGACACAGGAGGACCAATAATCAAAGTGTTTCGAGCACGCTAATGGAGCTTTTTTAACATTTCATTTACACAACCCTTACTGTTATGTTTCAGTAGAGTTATAGATTTTAAACAGGCATGTGGGGTAAAAGCCTTGAAGTTCAAGTGTTACCTTATACAGCAAAAGAGTGAAAAATGCATATTCTGTTCATAAATTACAAAAGAAAACTTGTGAAGCAGCCAAAGATGTTTCTGTTTTTATCTCCGCGACATGGTGATTGATTGAGCGTTTATCTTAGTATGAAGTCATTTGTAAGCGGTTAAACTATTAGCGTAAATGGTTACACTATTACGTGATCCATTCATTTTCTTCCACCGTAGTAGGGGAGCACCTCTGGCTAAACCTCTTGTTGTGAGGAGGAGCAGCGCACACAATAGGAGTCTGACTCCAGGTTTTGTAAGCAACATCTGTATGAATGGTGGCATTGTCAGGGTATGAGGTCATTGGAGAGGGACGGTGAGCTAGGAGCACAGCTGAATCTGCTTCACTGCTCTCTAGAATATGTGTACTGTATATGTTTGTGGGCATGCTCACCATTGTGTGTGCACTGTGGTTGCTTTCAGTGTATTTTCACCCTCTCTGGCATTAATCGTCCTTGGTGTCAAAACACATCTGTGGCCTAAGTGGGCTAAAACAAACCATAAAGTTAGAGTCAGCAGATTATAGTATTATTAGTAGTATTTGATACAGATCTGTATGTACAAATGTTTGGTTAGTAAATGAAATGTGTGGCTTTGTGATAAACTGCAGTCAAACAAGGACACAAGGCATGGATAAGCTGAGATGTTGCATACAGAAAGCAGTCATTGTCTCGGATGCAGATAAGGTTGAAGATTATACACATATGATATTTCTCTTTACTGCTCTGGAGTCGAGTGTTTTCAGCAAAGTGGAGTGCAGGGCTGAGGAGCTGCTGGATCGATGTGTGTCTGCCAGTTTATCAGTGTTGGACACAGACCACAGAGGGGCCTCTCTGTCTCTGCCTCCCTTGTGTTGCCAGTGCCAGAGTGCCTGAACCACACACTGTATGTAGTAATAGTAAATCAAAGGTAAATGGACATGCTGCTTTTCAGTTGACAGGTTGTGTTAGTCCTATTGTTTGTTGTAATAATGAACAATGAGTTCAACCACATGCCCCATTTATAAACACAGCGCATTCATAAGTTATGAAAGCATTGTGTGTCTGCATATAAATGCGATCAGCAGCTTTAGCTCCTTAAACATCACTTCTGAACCATAGAATAATATTAAACCCCTTATGGCTATATTTGCTAAGCAATGTGATATCATTGATAATAATGAATTATTCTACATTGTTTAATATATTTATGATGAGAAAGGCTAGATGACACTGCCTTTAGATACTCTAAAGATGTATGTAATCATTCCAAAAATAATCAGGTTATAGAAAACTGTGGCACATACCATTTATGTGACAATTGGGACCCTTCATCAGGAACAGGTTTTGAGGCCGAGCCAGGTCATTTCAAGTAAATTCAACACCACTGCATTCATCTAAAATAGATTAGAGTGACATGCCTAAATGCATATTAAATTCACATTTATCATGTATTAAAGATGTAAGGATATTGCCTCTTGTGAGAAAGTATTGTTTAAAAATGGATGTAGTTACAACCCAAGCAGTTAAGAGCATTACTGGCAACAAGACTGTCCTCTGAAATTTGATAAAAAGCAGACTAACTTTTTTGG